CATTAGCTTCAACACATTTTTCATCTGTTCAGTGGTTTAGCGTTAGCAAAGCTAAGATTCTTCATTTGTGGGTTAGTGGTTAGCGTTAGCTTCTCATTTTTAATTTGTTTAGTGGTTTAGCGTCAGCAGAGCTAATATATTTGTTTAGTGAATCAGTGGTTAGCGTTAGCCTCAACACATTTATAATATGTTTAGTGGTCTTGTTTAGTGGATTAGTGGTTAGCGGTAGCTTCAACATATATTTTTTTACCTGTTTAGTGATTTAGCGTTAGCAGAGCTAAGATTCTTGTTTAGTGGATTAGTGAAGCTAACTGTTCTGTTAGCTGTGCCCACCACTGGTAGTAGGAGAGTAAATTAGAATAAAACATTTTTACAGACAGGAAACATTTAACCAGCAGTGAAAATAAAGGCCCGTCACACTAAATTTCGCCAACTTATGAAACATCTTTTGCGTCTTGCTAATAAAAGTTGTATATTTAATCTTTTTTTTAAATAACAGTATGTGCATGCCTAAAATAAGCTTTCAGTTCATTTTTTCAACTCTATGTTCAACATAGATGTCTTTAAATTTTTCATAAGTTGTGTAAAACGTCACAGTGTGACAGGGCCTTAAAAACCAAAGTTCCTTTTAAAAACTCTTCTAACTGTAAAGAATGGTTTTCTGTGAACGCGACATGTTTGTGATTTTATTGTGTTTTTCATCATCAGTCTGAGTTTTATCTGTTTGTCACTCGTCCCGACAGGACGGGGGGTCCGGGGGGAGGGGGTCTGTTCCAGCTGCCTTATATCAATTTGTGCTCCTGACTTTTTCATTTCACGAGTCGCAGCCCAAACAGCAGCGCAGCTTCAGATTTATCTGCAGCCGTCTGACAGTTTTACCTTCTGTTTGTGGACGGAGCAGCGCCTCGCTCCACCGTGGGTTTTTATCATCACAAACACCGGCTCACTCTCCTCTGTGGGTCAGAATTAATGGAATTTAAATGACTTTTTACAGTAAGTGATGTTTAAAACATAAAACACACCTCTTACATAAACACCAGGTCACAAAATCCAACGTCCAAAAGATGAAGAAAAGGTGGGAAGAGGAGAGCTTTTAATGAAAATGAGTCATTTAAATTCAGACTTCATTTAAATTTATTAGATTTTTATTTTTGTTAATGCCGACTTTAAATATTTGTTCTCTCCTGGTTTGAACTTAGTGAAGAAGATTTGAACTCTGGTGAATTATTTGTTTCATAAATCAGACTTTAAGCTCAAAATTCTGATATTTCTTTCTTTTTAAATCACATTTATTGATTCATTAAAAAGGTCGGTGCACGTTGATTAATATTCAATAACTATAAATGAATCAGAATTAGCACAATATTTAAATTCCATCCACTGGTTAAAAATAAAAAGAGTTTATAAAAGAAATGATGATAAAACAATCCATCTGATTATATTTAAAACC